TGTTCTGCTGTTTATTCTGATGGATGGTTATGAAATGACAGGGACTTGGTGACTTATTCAACCAAAAAGCAGGAGTGTGAAAGCTGGTGAAGAAATCAGTGAAGATATTACTTTACAGAAGCTTGACCTGTCGTCATAATGTTATGGCTTTAGCATGTACACATATGTAGCCTAACAGGCATAAATATAAAACGATGATTTAATTGCATAAATACATTATTAGCACATCTATGACGAGGTCATGAGTAATTCAGACAAGATTAAACGGTGTGAAGATGGACGTACAAGTTGTAATTATAAATAAATGTGATGTGTAACGTCAAGATTGTTTTTTTTATCAACCACTCTATTGGACCTCGATGCTAATTGGCAGCACAGACAAGCAGCTAGCATTGCTGGAAAGGCCAAGTCCTTTTACTGTTTTTTTCAATTAATACGTTACTTCAAGAAATATTTCCAGAGCAATTTAACTGAGAAGAAGGGATGTGCAAACATTGGGCTCTAAGGGTTAACGGCGCTACCAGACTTGGTACCGATATTTCCCAGTGGTCACTTAATGTACTGCAATAAAATAAGAGGCATTTTGTTGGTTAATTGTTAATCAGTGGAGGCTTCGTGTTAGCAAAATCGACCCAGAGCCTAGAAAAGCAAGTTCAGAATCATGATGTTATCCCCCAGGACACTAATGTGCAGTTGGCCACACAATGTGTAAACTGGAAACCTTTTTTTGGTGCATGTGCTAGGGTCAAGTGAGGAGGTACCATGCTTGAATCCAGATTCAGCTTCCTTTATATGTCCATCTTTTGATTTTGAAGGGTGGGAATGCTAACAGAACCAAATACAAGCTCATTTTCAAATCACGTCAGTGAATAAAAGCCTCTGTTGTTTTTGTCTGAAAGAAGGTTCAAGAGTCCTACGGCTGAGAAAAACAGTAAAATTGTGCATCTTAAATTAGCGTAATAGCTCTAATGGTGCTATCAGGCCATTTTTGACTGCAGGGAACTCGTGTGGTGTTTAAGAGCAGCCGCACGTTTGAGCCTATTCAGACTGTAGGAACCACTCCTGTAGAACCTCATCCAGGGCAGATTTCAGTTGAGAACAAGTACCAGCACCAGGGTAAGATCTCGATGCTGATTGGTCCAACTCGAAGAAGCTGATTGGTTCATTTTGGAGAGGACAACAAGTGTTGATGTCCTCATCAAGTAATAGTCTTCTCTCCAACATCTTCATCAACAAAATCCAATTCATCATATAAGCAAAAACAACAAACCCTCTACTGCTGTCCACCATTCCTACATATTCAGAAATAATTCCTCATGTTTGATGCACTGTGAGTTAAAGTCAAAGCCGGAGATATTGGATGCTACATGACATTGGCCCAGATAGACTGCAAGTGCCAATTCCTGCAATTGTTTGTGCCACATCGTGCCTGACCCCAATTCTTGTTTTCCGCATCCATGTGCATTCAGCTACGCAACTGGTTGCATTTCACCTCATACCAAACACAGAAAAACACACAAGGAAACAGCAGCTGGTTACAGATCACACCGTAGCACCGTGTCATTGATAAATCCTGAGGTGTACCGAGGACAGTGAGCAGACATTGCTCTGGATTTCTGGAGAAATTCCTACTGTGTTTGTTGATGGAAAGCATGTTCAAATCAAAGCACATCCAAAGTCTGGCAGCAGCTAGTTCATGTACCGTTCTTTGTCATTGTGAATTTTAAAGATGTGAATGACAGCAGATCTCCTTGTACCAAACATTTGTCCTGAGCGCCACTTAGTTTCCTGCGCAGTCCATGCAATCACAAATTTGGGACTGCGTACAGAACAGCATAAATTGGCCTTAAAACTGAACGTAGTAACTTGATCCATGAAAATATTGATCAGCGCACCTTTAAGTTTCACAAAACCAACAGTTAGCTTGGTGGATATTTGGAGATTTGGGAGTCTGTGACCGAGTTGCACAGGTGTTGGCTGGGACTTCCTGCTTATTGACACCCAATCAGAAGCCGTTTCATTTGTTTCCTGTGCTGAAAGGGCAACAAATAACCACGCTTTCCTCCACAATTCCCCATGTCCACCAACAAAACAAAATCTAAATGATTCTATTTCTTGTGTGTTTATAGAGCTGGAGTTACATCAGGTGACTTTTATTTCTTGTTAAGGCGACCAGACATTAGACAGTAGTTTGCGTCATCACTCCTTTAAAACGAAACAAGATATTTTGATCCATGAACATATAGATTAGTGCAGCTTTAAGTTGCAAGAGCTTGGTGGATATTCAGGAGCTCCGTGAGCAGGTTGCACAAAACCCCAGAAAAGGCTTCTTTGATTATCTATAATACTGTGAATCTTTCTCCAATTTTAAAGTGACATTCTGCCTTAAAAAAAAAATCATCCTATGTGTCATTTGCAGGCTGTAGGTGTTGGCTGGGACCTCCTGCTTATTGATGCCCAATCAGAAACAACAGAGGCGTTTTTATGTGTTTTCTGGTGCTTCAAATAACATCAGAGCTCTCCTCTAAGAACAGCAACATGAAATGCTCTATATTAGATAACATAACCCTCTATTATTCCATTTCTTCTGCACTCACAGAACTAGAGTTACATCAGATCACCGTTTCTTGTTGTTTAGGTCGAGGTCGATGAGGTTGGATACGACGCAACAATGGAAACAGAAATGCTGAAAGTACTGGTTCTTCAGTCAACCTTTTGCCTGTCGTCAGTTCCTGCAGTGATAAGCCACCAACAGGGAGCGCTGCAAAGCTACGAAAAACTTCTATTTATGGTGTTTTCGATCAAAAACATTGGATACTACATGACGATGGAAACGGAAATGCTCAAAGCACTGGTTCCTTACGCCAATCCACGACTGTTCCGAATTATTTCGCAACTTACCAACAATGACTTCAGCGGATGTTTGGAGATTTAAGGGGCCACAATTTAGAATCACCAATTAACCTCGACAAGCTGTTGGACCTTGTGGGAGGAAGTCAGAGAACCCGGAGAGAACCCATGCTGCACGGGGAGAACATGCAAACTCCACGCAGAAAGATCCCAGGCGTCCTACCTGAAACTTCAAGCTGCAAGGCAACGGTGCTAACCACTGAACCACCATGCAATAGACTAATATAAAAAACCCTAAATGATTGTATTTGTATGTACTCAAAGAAGTGGAGTTACATCAGATAACTGCTATTTATTGATCTTTAAGTTTCACAAAACCAACAGTGAGTTTGGTAGACATTTGGGGGAGTACTTAGGTTTCTTCTTTTCAGACAATAGAAATTTTAGGAGATGGTTCTTAACCTGACATGTTTCGACTGGAACTTCAGTCTTCCTCAGAGGCGTCAGCTGATCGCCGTGACGTGTCATTTATTTGGTGTTCCTTATGGGCGTGGCCAATCTGTCAGACCTGTCAGTTCTGTCAGATTGGCCCCGCCCCCTGCTGGTGCCTGCAGGAGGGAGTCCCAGGTGTGTGACAGCATGAAGGTGCCTTCATCCGTCATTCATGTCGTCTTCTGATCTCGATGGGCTCCTTGATGAACCTTTTATGTTTATTGCTTTCTGATGTTATGATTCTTGTGTCGTCCCAGTCCATGATGCGGTTCTGTCGTTTGCAGGTGGTCCAATATTGCTGATTTGTACTTTTCCTGTTCTGTTTTTCTGTTCTTGTGAGACGTCCTGTTGAACTTGCTAGATGTAGATATTTGGGGATTTGAGGGCACCATGAGCAGGTTGCACAAACACAGGTAAAAGCACCTTTAATTATCTATAACCGTGTGACTCTTTTCCAATTTTAAAGTGACATTCTGCCTCCAAGAAAATCTTCTGTGACGCCCGCAGGCTGTAGGTGTCGGCTGGGATCTCCTGCCCCATCAGACACAACAGATGTTCCCGGTGCTGAAATAACTCAGACGTGTCTCCAAGGAAAACAATGCATCATATAGACTAACATGAAAACATTAGTCTATTTCCTACATGCTCATAGAACCGGGTTACGTCAGATCACTACAAATCTTGTTTATTAGGTCGAGGTCGACGACATCGAATACTACACGAGGAAGGAAACAGAAAGGTCAACTCATGCCTGTGTGGAGTTCCTGTAGTTAAAACCACCAACAGACAGCTTTGGAAAACTATTAAAAACTACTATTTCTTATGTTTTTTTAGGTTAGATTGTGCACAGAAATGCTCCGAGCGCTGCTTCCTTACGCCACCTATCTGGAGTTGCAGCAGTCGAAGGCCACCTATAGAGAGCTTTACAAAGCTTTGCATGACGTGTCAGGGATTGTACAGTAGGTTTTGACAATCAGCTGCATGTAGTGACTCCTACGAAACTGAACGCGATATTTTGATCCATGAAGATATTGATCGAAGCTTCACAAAACCCAACAGTGAGCTCGGTGGATGTTTGGGCTCCCTGTGAAGGCAGACTGCACACAAAAGCAAGTAAGGCATCTTTAATTATCTAAAAATCTCCTTTCCAATTTTAAAGTGACATTGTGCCTCTGAGAAAATCTTCTGTCACACCTTGCTGGGACTTTTATTGAGACCCAATCAGAAACAGCGCAGATATTTCATATGTTCCTGGTTTCTGGAAGGAAAAAAAAAAAGAGGTGGAGGGGGGGCTTTAAAATAACGCTTCTCCTTCTGAAAATAACGCTGATTGAAATGTGTCTGTGAAGACTGAGCCACACACACACACACACACATTGCGTGTGCATGTGCGCGTCCACGTGTCCCTTTAATCGCCGAAGGGACCGTAATGACCAATCAGCAGCCTTTTCAACTCCTCAATTTGTTGATTTGGTGTTGAGAGAAGGGAGGAGGGAGAGAGAGAGAGAGAGAGAGAGAGAGAGGGCGGCCGTGGGGCAAAAGGGGGGGGCTGGTAGAGCGAGGTTGAGGCTGTATGGGTGAGAGAGGGAGAGAGAGAGAGAGAGAGAGAGGGAGTGCGGTGGTGAGAGAGGGGACACACCGAGCAGCAGCGCTCCGTCTCCGTTATTCACTGTGGGTTGGTTCTTGGGAGAGCTCCATCCGCGGCGCACGGCGGTAAGTGTCACCGGCTCTTTTTTATTTTATTATATATATATATATATATTTGTTACCGCTTCACATTTCATAGACCACCTATTTTCTAATTCTTTAAAACATTTCCCCCCTTTTTTAAAAATAATTTCCTCGCTTTTGCTAAAACACACGAGCTTTGCAGGAGACGCGTAATTTTTTAATTTAGTCGCAGCAGTTTGGCTCGGTGCTGACGGAGGGCAACACCGCTCGGCTGCTTTTTTTTTTTAAAACGTGGAAAAGTGAGGTGAAATATTCACTTGTGCAGTTCGTAACTTTATTTATGAAGCACTTGAACCGCTTTTCGGGACAGTTTTGGGGACACGCTGGAAAAACGAGACCTAATTTTTTAATTTATTTTTGTATTTTGCGTCTTTATTTCGTCGCTAATAACACACGGAAGTTCGAGGCTGTAAGTTGAGTAAAAGTTAGCACGTTTTATGCTATTTTTTTTCTTTAAAGTGGCGGTTTTATGAGTTAATTCGTGTTTTTTTTCTTGAATTTGTGCTTCAGAATTAGAGGAAGTCTCTTTTACCGGCGGGTTGGAACCCCTTATATTTAATTTTTTTTTTTTTTTTTTAATAAATGAAGCCAAGCTGGGTTACACGTTTAAAAAAATAAAATAAAAATAACACTTTCGCTTATTTACGTTTTGTTAATGAAGTTCTCTATCTTCTTTTTTTTTCCTTCTGTGAGAAATGAGTGGGTTTTGTGGTGAATTTGAGACCATTTGAGTGAAGGAAATACTTAGAACAATATTTAATTAGTGCCCAAAAAAAAAGCTTGTAACATTAAGGAAATGGCGTTTGTCTCCTATCTGTGGTTTCTCTACACAGAGAGAGGAACCTACAGGGAGACTGTAGCAGAATGGAGTGATGCTGATCTGTTCCGACTGATTTTCTTGTCTTTTCAACTCTCTCTCTCTCTTTCCCTCCATCTCCCATCCTTCCCCACCATTATGGAGTTAGTCTCTAATTAGAGCACATATAGTTATAGAGACAATCACATCCCCACCTCTCCTGTAGCATCAGTGAGACAGTGAGTGTCAAACTCATTTTGCCTGACTCGCATCATATTTACATGGAAATGCAATTCCTCCTGCTCACTGTTGTGTTGTGTTTGAGATGTATTTTTCACCTGTCTGTCGGCTGTGTTGACTCGCCGTGCCCGGCTAATGGGAGCTTCTGTCAGGCTGGACTGGATGCAGCTGCGTGTTATCTCAGACTGGACAGCTTGGACGGACGTGGCAGCGGGTTTTGGGTCGAACAGGCTGCTGTGTTTGACCTGCTTGGAAAAAGCCAGATGGGTGGGGTTTCCAATATCTGGGCAGTTGTGGAGGCAGCGGCGTTGATTGTGAAGGCGATGTGATAAATATTCAGCATCTTCTCTTTAGTTTGCTGGAGCTGCTGGTTGAGATAAAACAGGCCGGTTAAGTTGCATTAGTTATTTTTAGGTGTAACTAATTGGAATCCAGGTTTCTACACGTTTATTGTTTGATCGAGGCCATTATGACGGTTTGATGTGGTAAAATATGTATTCATGGATTTCAGTGTGAGTGATTTCATCCCCTAAAAGCAGTGTTTATTCAGGGTATGATGAGAGGCATAACTTATATCTAATCATCTACAATCATCTCATAGTTGTTGGAGTAGAGCAGCTTGTGGTTAAGATAAAACATACCAGGTCGGTGAAGTTGCATTAAATTAGCACATCTGGATTTAAATCAGCTTTATTGTTTGATTGTGACCATTTTGATGGCTTGATGAGTAACTTTCGTGGCAAAATGTGTATTCATGAGTTTCATTTTGAGTCATTTCAGCCTCTGAAAGCGGTGTTTATTCAGTGTAAGTGGAGGGCATAGCCTACCTACAGTATCTACAATTTTCTCATAGTAATTGAAGCTTCTGGTTGAGATAAAACACGACGGGGCAATGGAGTTGCATAACATTTGTTTTGGATTTAACTAATTGAAATCCAGTTTATTGTTTTAATTTCGTGGTTTGATGGCCAGCTTTCAGGGCAAAAAAAATGTATTCATGAATTTCAATTTGGGTAATTTGAACCTCTAAAAGCAGTGTTAATTCAGTGTAAGTGGATGGCATAGCCTACCTATATCCTATATACATGTAATGTACAGTAACTACAATTTTCTCAAAGTAGTTTTGGATTTAACCAAATGAAATCCACTGTATGGTTTGATGGCTACCTTTCATGATAAAATATGTACTCATGGATTTCAATTTGAGTGATTTCAGCCTGTAAAAGCAGTGTTTATTCAGTGTAAATGGACAGGCGTAGCTTACTTGCACCTAATTACCTACAATAATCTCGTAGTTGTTGGAACAGAGTAGCTTGTGGTTGACATAAAACTTGACAGGCCAGGAAAGCTACACTACATCAGCTATTTTAGATTTAACAAATCCAGTTTTCTACACGTTTATTATTTGAGCTTGGCCATTTTGATGGATTCTCATGGCAAAATCTGTATTCATGAGCCTCTCAAGGCAGTGTTTATTCAGTGTAAGTGGAGGGCATAGCTTACCTACACCTACCTACAGTATCTACAATTTAGCTGTTGGAGCTTGTGGTTGAGCTAAAACACGACAGGTCAGTAAAGTTGCATTACATGCTGGATAAACCTAATTGAAATGTAATTTATTGTTTGATTGTGGCCATTTTAAGGGCATGATGGTCAGCTTTCATGGCCAAATGTGCATTCATGAATTTCAGTGTGAGTAATTTCCACCTCCAAAAGCCGTGTTTATTCGGTGTAAGTGAAGGGCAGAGGCTAGCTGTATCTACCTACAGTCTTCTCATAGTTGTTAGAGCAGAATGACATGTGGTTGAGCTAAAACGTGACAGGCTAGTAAAGCTGCATTACATTCAGCAATTTTGGATTTCACTAACTGAAATCCAATTTTCCACATGTTTATAGTTCGGTCAAGGCCACTTTGATGGTTTCATGGCCAACTTTCATGGCAAAATATGTATTCATGAATTTTCAGCTTGAATAATTTTAGCCTCTGAAAGCAGTGTTTATTCAGCGTAAAAATAAAATAAAAAAAAATCCCCACTGAAAGAATACTAATGAATCCGTTGAGGTGAGTTGGAGTCCATAGCTGTTAAAGGAGGATGAGGCAGGTTTTTTATTTTCTTGCTTATTTTACAAAATGATAGCTCTGAAAGGAAAATATTTTGTGACTTGAATTTGTAACAAGCATCAACCTGATTTAAAAAAAAAAAAAAAGACTTCAGTTTCTAATGTAATACTTGGTTTTCATTCTCTAGAAATTAATGGAATTCCATTCTAATGAAATTTACTCCTTGCAATTAAACTGTGGAAATCCTTAAGAGAGCTCTGGTTGGTGATTCAGACCCCTCATTGAGATCCATTGATTTATGCTTTGTAGGAATCTGGGGTTTCCCAGCATGCATGGAAGTGCCTTAGAAATGTTCTTAGCACTGGCATCCATCGTGCCTATTACGAGGTCTGCATCAGTCCTCGCATTAGACATTCCTCACTGACTCAGATGTGACCTCAGCGCAGCCTAGCAGGCCATCACTTACAATTTTCAAAGAGCCGGAGCCAGAAGTAGACTGCTGACTGGTCGGCACATAATGAGGTTATTGTAACTCCTGGACTCACAGAAATTGCATTTAATGTACCAAGCAATGTTCTCATCTAAAGTAGGCGTTTAAATTATTGTTGCATTTACCCAGCAGTTTGTTGGTAGATGTAAATATGCCAGATTTACTAGAAGCAAAAAGTCTTATGTTAAGTCTTTTTTAATGAACTTGCAGCATGTTACTTATGATTAGCTTTTTGTGTAGCTATGAGCCCGTCTATATAGACTAAACAGTTAGTCTATTAAAAGCACAACCACTTGGAGGAGATTGACACTGACTGAGAGTCAGCTCTGAAAGCTTGTCCCTCAGTGCCAGCATGTACCAGGATGTATTGTTTGTGGCCATAATGGTCAACTTTCAAAACTACAATAGGGGGCTTTGTTTCCTTAAGCACAGTCTCTGAGGCAACACTGCTTTTCTCAGACTGGACACAAATCCAGGGTGGTCTTGACCTCGACCTCAACTGTCTGTAACCCAAAGCGAACCGTTGCGTGTCTGTTGGAGGTGCACGGTGACAGAAATGTTTCTGTAAACTCTGACAGGCGATAGAGCTGTAGTGGGCTCACAACAATGTGGAAAAATCAATAATCTGCTCTGCCAATCTCCCCTGTGATTAACACAGGCACGTTTTACAGTTCACGGTTCAACGCAATGCCAGAAATAATCTTGGAGTGCAGCAAAAAACTGCAGAATGTATGTAAAAACCAAAAGCATAAAGGATAAAACAATAAAGCAAGCATGACTCAGTTAAACAAAACTCGAGAATTTGAAAATAGTGATTTTACTGTTCTATTTCACATCAGTTCAAAGATACCACATTAAGGTTTTTCTAGTGAGCAATAAAGTTCGTTCTCGACCTTGTGATAAAAAAGAACAAAAAATCAGTCAGTTCAAGACTGTCAGCTACAGAGGTGGGTTCAGAGGTTTGGTTTTTGTGTTAAAAACATTTTATTGCTTCACATAGAGGAATAAAAGAGCAATATGGCGATTGACGAATGGAGCACAGTGCAGGAAATAGCAAAATGAAAAAATGGGATAAAATAAAATAGCATGCAAGGTAACCTAAAGAACAAAAAAAAAAAATAGAGAGAGATTTTGGTGACAAACTGCTCGTTGTCCCAAAGCCACAGAGTCAAGATGGCAAAAGCTCAGTCACCTTTAGTCTTTAGCCTGGACTCAGTCACAGCCAGGTCAGTCGTGCACTATGGAGTCTGTTGAGCAGTCAAAAGTTCAGGGAGACAACCCCAAGCACAGGGCAGAGGAAACATTTGCACATAATCACTACAGAAATCAGTGAGGCCATCAGAGAGTGGGGGAGATATGTGGCCCTACCCTTTGTTGTAGGTAAAAGCTTGCCT